GTAGTGCTTGTTTTTTTTTAAATCAAGCTTTTTGATTATTATATAAAAATATACTTCTATATATAGATAACCATTTTTTGAGGGATTGAACTTTTCATTCTTTTTCTCAGCATAAAAAATGAAAATTTAAAACATACTCTTTTAAATAAAAAAATCTATAGAATGAAAGTTCACAGAGAATTTCGAATGGTAAAGTAAGTTATTTTTAACTCTTGTTTGTTGAATGTCTATCAAAAAAAAACGTCATGATCTGAAGTTGAAAATTTCATGTGATCTGAACAGAATTCTATTGACGCATCATCTACAAATAGATAAATTCTTTGTAAAAAAATAAAAGTTTGGAAACTGGATGCCTTTTATGCATGGTATCTAAGAAATTTTCAAATGATATTTACTTGAATTTGTTGTTTTTCAAATTCTGATCGATTTTCAAGATCGATATCCTCTTCATTATCATCGTCTTCTTCTTGATTTTCTTCGTTTTGATCAACGTCAACATGATTATTTTCCCTACACAAATGTAAAAGAAATCTAGTATGGGTAAATACTATAGAAAAAAAAACAACATACATTTCAATTTTTTCTTTTTTCTTCTTCTTTTTTTGTTTATTTTCACTTGGTGGATCAAAAAATTCATCATAAGTTGCATCTTCCTACATAAATGATTTAAATATCTATTTGTTAGAATATTTTACTTTTAAGACTTACATTTTCTTCATCAAGAGATAGATTATCATCATCATCATCAATATCATTGTCGTCTTCAAAATCATCATCTTTATTTATCTTTCGATTTGATCTAAATAAATACTGATATTTTTATATTACTTTTCTAGAAAGTTTACCTTGACATTTCTTGAAAATCTTGTTCATTAAGAAATTTATTCAGAGCATTTGAATCAAAAAATCTAAAAATCGAATAATATTGTAATTAAATATAATGATTATTCAATTTTCATACGTCACAGATTTTTTCTTTTTTTTGGAAATTTGTTTTGTTGATATTGATAAATCTTCATTATCGTTTTCTTCATTTTTAATATTTTCTTCAATCAATGATGGTTTTTCTGGTGATGGTGATCGAAGTAAATTACCAAATGCTTTTTGTTTTGTTTTATTTTTAACAATAGTTGCTAAAAATGATTTAAATCGAATTTCATTTATTGATTTAAGTTGTTGGTAAATTTGTTCAGGCTCAAAACCACGTACATGTACTGAAAGTGGTGTAACTGTATTAAATGATGATGGTAATAATGAACATTTCAAATCAGAAAAATGTTTAACATAATTAGCAAATGTTTCAGAACGTTGCTTATCGGTTCTATGAATTTATAATAAGAATACATTAAGAAACAATAAAATGAAAATTCTTACATGATAAAATCTTCAATTTTACTTAAATATGAAAAAATAATATCATCATTACGTTGTTCATTAGATTTAGAACCAGGTGGATTTACCATCTAAAAACAACAGAAATTGAATATTGATTTTGAATGATAATAAAAACCGATTAAAACATCGAATAGACATTATATTATATGAAATGAAAGAAGTTAACTTTATAATTGGTCAGTGAAAAAATTCATCGATTATTTCCGTCAACAGATGACGTTAGTTGAGAGTCTGATTGATCATTGCAATGATTATTTAAAGTTAATGTGAAAAACATTAGTACTATCAATTGTTTTTCGAATTTTAAACTTATTTATGAAAATATGAGACGAATGATCATGCTTTAGTAAAGAAAAAAATAGTAACGAGCGTTTCTAAAGTTTTTGGACCAATGTTAGACTCAAATATACTCAAATAGCATGTGATAGGACTACTTATTCAGGTGTTTTAGTCAGATAGTGTGATCTCTTATTCAAAAAGGAAACATTTTCCCAGTTACTATTAATGCGCTTGTCACATTATAAGTTTCGGTTTATTCAAAAGTCATGAAAAGCAAATTGTAGATTTCTTTGATTAAAATTTTGCTTTGTCAAAAAAAAAATTAATAACTTGGCCAATGAGGGTAAGTATCCAAAGACTCCAGTTCCGCTTTGACTCATTCATACTTTATTCGATAGACTATAGTGATATAAGAAAAAGTGTAAAAGGGTTCGTGTCCATAGCCTGTTAATGAAGAGTTTTGGCCTGAAAATTGACCTGCAGATGGGTTTAAGGGTAATTAGATAGTCCTGAAATTTTTGACAAAAACGAACATGACGTTCTCGAGACAATTAATTTCCAGGTAGAGTGGATCATTGAGTCCTTCTACGATAAACCGCTGATTGTTTGGATATGTTGAATACTTCGAGAATAACGTGTTTATTTTCTTTGAAAGTTTTAGGACGATCTAGTAACAATGAAATCTATCTATAGGTAATATTTCTAGTCAAAGCTCTTCATGTTGGTTTTCTCAGAATACCTGACGGTCGGTAAGAACTTCAGTATAATGGTCACAACTCTTCGCTAGTACACGATGGAGTCGAACCCTTATAGACTTTTTATTTTATTTTAATACACTTTATCGAATGTGGTACGAAAGAGTGAAAATGAAAACGGATATTTTGAGTATTTTCCTTGTCAAACGTAATCTTCTAAGCTGACTTTTCCACATTATATAAACAATTATATCGGCTCTTGCTGCATTCAAAAATAAAGTAAACGTCAATTATTATAATTTTTTATGGAATGTGGGTGTCAGTGTGGTGTGTGAGTGTGAGTTTGGATTGTTGATTTTAGGATCTTTTTAGTCACACTCACACCCCACACCTATCCTTTTTCTTTTATTTTAAGTTCGACTGAATTTCAGACGAACAGTCTATGGAATTTTGGTTCGACGATGGAGAAAAACTTTAAGAACATTTGAATCGATTCGTACGTAAATGAAATTAACTTATAAAACAAGACAACTTGTTTTCATTTAGTACAACATGTAACTCTCTATGAACAAGATCTTTGTCAATTATTTGAACAATTAAAACAACTTGTATATTTGGATATTTATAGTGAAATAACTTATGAAATAGTGAAACCTTATCATTTAATGGTTGAAATGAGTTTTCCGAATGGTCAAACTAATTATTCAGATGTCAAGATTTCGTCTTTGGATGTAATTATTATTTCTAATATGACATAAGTATACGTTACAAAAAACTATCATGGTTCTCTTCTTCCTTGATAGTCAGTTCATTAAAGTTTTTTCTGTTATTCTTCGTCTTTTTTTTTAAAGAAAATAAAATTTATATCCATTTGTCGCGAGATTTTTTTAAACAACTCTCATCTATGAAGTAGAAGATTCAAATGAATTAAAACATTTTAATTAATTGGATGCATATTTTTTTACCTTTTTCTATGTAGTAAGTTTCTGTAAGTAAAATGCTTTTGTAATTCGTATCCTCACCGTTTTACTCATCTCATGTATGCTTTCAACTTACGAGAATAATCAGTTTCACTTTATTTCGAAATTGATTAAACATGAATGATTCATGTTTTGAATGAATACACGCTATTGATTAAAAAGTAATGTTACTGAATTGATTGTCTACTTTGTGTTGTGGAAAGAGAACTAATATTGTTCATGATCATGTATATCGTGTTTGTTCTAGAGAGCATCTATCTGAGTAAATATTACATGACATTTTGATCTACCGTAGTCTTGATATCAATCTAAACTTCGCTTAAAATGCCTCGTATTAGTCTAAATCTTTGTTTCTGTATAGACATTACTAATATTCTATAACAACTTGAAAATCGATTAAACAGATTACAATCGACTAGCGATCAAAACCGAATTGTCACCCATAGAATCGTTGATAATCAAATTTAAATCCAGGGATTCGATTTTTCTTTACTGAAGTTTCAAGCGATTGTACAGATTGAAATCGATTATCAATGAAAATCGGATAATTGGCAAAATAATTCAAGATAATCGATTAAGTAGATCATTTTTTCAATCAATTTATAAATTTTAATCCATGTCAATCGAATTTTCTGCGAAAAGTAGATGCGAAAGTTATTGATATGCTGCACATGAGTCTATTCAATCAAGTCCTACAATGAATGAAATAATGTCCCAACAGTTTTGTGAATAAGCACTATGTTGAACTATTCCAAAAGTTTGATGATTATAATCGTAATATATCCCGAAAGCAAGAGATTTTCTGATTACACATTTCATTTTATTTCAGATCAAAGCATTGATTCCATAAAATTAACTCAAGATACATTCTTTCAAAAGGTACATAACGACATGCCACTAAGTAGTGAATCAAAACTCAAGAACATGTTGAAAGCGTCTTTGAATTCAATTACCTTCGTTTCGAGTGCTATACTTAAGGACATTAGCAACGAATGACACTACGTCAAGGGAAAGCAAGCATGATTTAAGTACTTCGAAACACTCGAGTCGTCTTTTTTTGTACTTGCATTACATACATACAAGTTCTGGACAACTTATTCACTTCTGTCAAGAACACAGCATAAGTATCAAACTCATAATGTATTTTCTTTTTCGATTTGAGCAAATTTTAAAAAAAAAAAAAGAAATCTGATGTTGAAAAAGCTTTTTGAAATTCAATAAGCTTTTTCAAAAAATATAAATTAGCCTTGAGAGAAGCTTTACGTTATACATTTTTTATATCAAGATTCTTGCTCATTTTCATTTAATTGAAAAAAAAGTAATTCAAAATATAACAGAAAGACTATAAAAGCTACTTATATGAACGATTGGATCAATGAAACATGAAGATTATTCGATAGACTTTATTTTAAGTTTGAATTTTGTTATAATGAGTTTACTGATTCATTTTTTAATCTGAGAAATATATATCAACATGATTCTATTAAAAAGTAATGTTCTTGTGTGTATCGTAAAATTTGACAAAAATGTGTTGTTGAATTGACATGAACAGCGTAGGAGAAGAAAATGAAACTATGTAAGGAATTTGACAAATTCGTTTGTCATACAAAAAAATAAATAAATAATACTAGGAGCAAAAAAGAAAATTTTTTTATCGACAATCAAACACATTTTTAGGATAGTCACAAAGTTGAGTGCGTAAATTGAATAGTGTCATTTCTGGACATTCAGTTTTCGATCTAATATAACCAGAAGAAGAAAAAGTTAATAAAACTTAACATTTCTTCATTATTTCTTACTTTTGTTGACAATCAATAAATCGTCGACAATTACCCGGATAACGAATTCGTGCAGGATTTGGTACTTGTGCTGGACATGGATCAACTAAATCAATAGAAACAAAAAAAACAATATTCTCAATTCAAAAATATTTCATCAATTTACATACCACATATTTTATTTTCATCAGGTACAAACTGATGTGAACATTCACATGCTCCATCGCGACATTCAGCATTGTCAACGCATTCAGCTGTAGCTCGATCACATACAGCACCTGGATCACCACGACATTTACGTACTGAGGGATGATATTGATAATGTGATTCGCATGAACAAACGGATGGTGTTGTTGTTTTATTACACACAAGATTTGCTCGACAATCAATATTACTTTCACATGGAGCTTGATAATCACCACCTTTAAGAAAAGTACGTTTTAAAAATGTATGATTTTTTTAAGTATTTTATCAGATATTTTTTAGTTCAATAAAATTGTTCAATAAAAAAAGACTGATTCAATGTGAAAATCGATATAGAAACGAATATACTTACGACATCGTCGTCTATCTTGATCGTATTCAAACTGTTGCTGGCATTGACATCGACGTGTTCCATCATTCATACCTGAACAGAGCATATATTGTTGACAATCGGTATCTTTTGTACATAACGCATTCAGATCACCAACTAATATCAAATTACATTATTCGAATAATTACAATATAATATACACTTACCACATTGATCTTTTATGAAATCGTATTTTAAAGGACATCGACACATACCTGGCGTTGATGCTCCTTTTTTATGACATGTAAATGGATGTTCACAATCACTATTATAATCGCATGATTCACCATACCGAGCGACTAAATAAATTGAGAAAAATTAAAATTATTTTGATTCAATCATTCAATTGATAACAAAAAAAAAGAGATAAAGACAAAAAGAATAGAAGACTGAACTCAAAGCAGAAAAGTGTGCGCGGAAGAATGCTTAGCAAAAGAAATCTAGTGAACACTAGTGTTTGTTTTGTTGTTATTCGTATTAGCATAATAGAATGCTCATACGTTGTTTTTCTGTGTTTGTTGTCATTTGAATAGTAGTAGTCATGAATGTTGTATAAACAATGTTTGTTGATATTATCGGATTGATATTGGTAACCGATGTCAATAATTGTCGTTCATTTTGCTGTATGACTAGATATGTTGAGTGAGAAAAAAGTGATAAGAATAGCGTGTAAATTCATCAATAAGTGTAGAGTAAGTCTTGAAAAAATAAATAGACTCAAGAATTCTGTTTACCTCCATCGCTGGTACCAATATTAGTTGAATTTATTTCTCGATAGATAATCGGAGTTCGTCCTAGCAATGAGTATTTTACTTGTAGACATTATGTTTAATTAAAGAAATTATTATGTAATTAAGAGAAAACAAAAGATTTTTATTCATTATTTTGTATAAAAAAGAAAGAAAATCTCTCTTCAAACTAGCAAATAACTTACCTTGAAATGTCCATGATAGTATAAAAATACCAATAAGTAGACCAAACATAATAATAGCAAATAGAATTAGGAGACAAGTTAATAATCGACGTTCTCGTGATAATTGATTGAAACGAATCCGCAGTCTGCAATGATCGGATTTTGTTTCAAGTAATGTTGGTATTGATGATGATAATGATAAAACATGATCAGTCATTTATACTGACTGCATGACAAAATTCAAAGATGCCTTTCAAATATCACTTTAGTTGACTGTTCGAATAAATCTGTAAGTTTATTCGTTCTTTTTCTTGCTCACTTTTTATGTACGTATTCTTTCAATATTCTCTATATGAATGTGTATAGTTGGATACCAAGACAACGCATTCTCTCTTCTCTTCTCATATATGTATGAATGTATGCTCAGAATAAGTGAGTTCATCTAACTGAAGAAAAAAGTGTATTGACAGAGTGAAGTAATGTATATAGTCTCTCTTAGAAAAACGAAACAAAACAAATCATGTCATATCATGATGTAAGAAAGTTTTCTTTCTTTCTTATTTCAGTAATATTTCTACCTTTGAAGTTGTTCATGGATGGAAATATTTGATTCTGTTGATGTAAGAATTGTTGAACGTGATCCATTTTGTTTGTGATCAATATCGATTTCATCATTATTTGATGTTTGAAATAGATCTGTTAATGGTACAATACGATTACCTGTTTTAGTAAATGTTGATGATGGAATGGATTCATTGTTTTTTATTTTATGATTGCTTGTATCAGACATTTTTGATAATGACTGTTGTTGTTGTTGCTCTTGAACGTTATTTGGTTCGATATATGAGTCGATTTCTTCTTGTTCTTCTTTTATACTATATCGAGTGGTTTTATCATCATCAGCATCATGGACTACATTTTTTTCTTTTTGTTCTCTTTTTTCTTTCTCGACATTTGCCAAATTGAATATGAATTCTGTCTCTGTTGCTTTGTCACTATATTCGACATATTGTCGAACAGATCGTATTCGCGGTTTTTTTTCACCTTCAACCATGCTTGTATCAAATTCATGATATAACTCAATTTGAGGACGTGCTAAATTAACTTGTATAGCTTGATCATACCGTTCTATATTTGTTCGAAATATTATTGGTTCACTTATTTCTGTACCAACACATTTATCATCAAAGTTATCATGTATAATTTTTGTTTTAGTTTCTTCTTTTTTTTGTAATGAAAGACGACTTGATGAACGAACAGGTAATTGTACAAATGATTTAACACGTTGTAATAAACCACCACTATGACGAAGACTAGTTTGAGACTGATTATTTACTTTGGTAGGACTAATTTTTCGACTTGATTGATGTTGTTTTTCACTCCGATTTTGTTCTGACATATTAAGTTGATCTGAATCAATAGAAAACATAGATATAGCTTCATAATCAATCATCTTATCATCGTCTTTTATTGATTTTATTTTTTGTCGTCGACGTCGACGACGATGATGTTCAGATTTTTCTTGTATATATGGATATTGATGACCAAGATAGGCATCTCGAGCATCAAGCCATCGTTTTAAAGCTTGTTTCGACATTTTAGGAATATGTAAAATAGGTGTAAGAGGACGTCGACTTGAATATGACAATAAACTTTTATGAGACTTCGAACTATGAGAATTAATTAAACGCTTAAGTTTTGATTTACAACCAGAAAGACGATATTCTGCACTTCTCAAACTTAAATTTTCTATTCCTGAAGATTATTAAAAGAAAAAAAAGAAACAAAGACACTAAATGAATATTTTCAATAAATTTTTATTTAAATAAAAAAGTACTTACGTTCTTTCAATTTTGCTGTACTTATACGTTGAGATGATAATGATGAATTTAAATTTCTACTAGACGTCAATAGTTTTCCTTTCGATTGTTGATGATCATGATCATTCATTAGCGTTGATTGTCGGTGACCAGTATGATGACAGACCCATTTGTCTGGTTGCCATGCCGATGGAAGTTTTATCTGTTGCCGTTTTTCCTGCATTCTGTACACACAAAATACTAACATTCACACAGATGATGTTGAAGGTAGTCCTTCTCATAACGCCCCCATCTTATCTATTCTCGTTTTACTAGTTTCATACAACAACTTTTTGTTTCTGTTGCACATATTTATTGAAACGATCAAATTACACACAACCATAGAACCTACTTTAATGTCCTTCATAACTATTCGATGAATATGTGAGGAGTGAAGAGAAAAATAAAAGATGTATTTGATAGAGTAGAAGTTTTCTGATTGATTGGTACGAAAAAATAAAAAAACATGTCAATATTTAAACTCATATTTAGAATGAAAAAGCAGTGAGAGTTATTCCCATTATTATAATTAAATTCGCAGAAATTGATACAATTATTGATGGAGCACTATTGGATAAGTATGATGTTGTTGAACTTTGTGTTGATATTGTGGTCGAATTAATCGTAGTAGACGTTTCATAATTGAATGCTGGATCGTTGATCATCGATTCTGGCATACC